GTGATCCTCAGTGCAATCAGTAGCTTACTTCTCACCTGGGACTGTAATGCAATAGGAAGTCCGAATAGACCTAAAACAGGCACATTGTTTGTATGAGTGATTAGAAAACTTCCCAAAAAGCAAGTCCACCCCAGATGAATTCACTGGTGAGTTTTTCCAAACAAGTAAAGCAGAATTAATCCACAATAGCTCTCACACACTTCCCGAAAAATACAACAGGAGGGAACACACCTCACCTCATTCTACAGAGCCACTGTTACCCTGAGACCAGCATCTGACAGGTGCAACACAAGAACATGACAGATAAATCTCCCTCATGAACAGAGACATAAAGATCCTTCAGTTGTTAGCAGCCAAGCCCAGGAGCATGAAAAAGGACTATACATCAAAATCAATGGCTATTTATCCCAGGAATGCAAGGCTAGTTCAAAGTACAAAAATCACTCCATGTAATACCATATCACATCACTAGAATAAAGGACAAAGCCCCAGGGCCATCTCAATTTATGCAGAAAGAGTATTTGACAAAGCCCAGCCCCCTTTCACAATAATGACTCAGGCAGTTAACAAACTAGGTACAGAAGGGCACCTCTTCAACCTGATAAAGGGCTTCTACAAAAAGCTCCCAGCTACCATTATACTTACTGGTAAAAGGCGGAAACCTTTCCCTCCCTCTAAGATCAGGGATAAGATTAAGGTGTCTCCTACCATCAACATTAAACTGGAGGAGTTTCTAGCTGGAGCAACTGGCAACAGAAAAAAATATACAGACTGGACAGAAAGAAATAAAACTACCTGTATTTGCAAATGACATGATGTCACATATGGAAAACCCTAAAGATTCATTCCTCCTCCCCTTACACACACACATGAGCTAATAAAAGGTTCAGCAAGGTAGCAAGGTGGCAGGACACAATATTAGTTTGCAGAATTCAGTCGTATTCCTAGATAATAGGAGTGATCAGTCCAAAATCTAGATAAAGAAAACCACTGCATTTACAATAACATCAAAATATTTAGGAATAAACTTAACAAAAGAAGTGTAAGGCTTATACACTGACAACCACAAAACATCACTGAGGGAAACTAAACACTTAAATTAAATAGGTGTTTAGTCTTCCAATTAATGAGTTGGAAGACTTAGTAGTGTTAAGGTGGTAATATCCCAAAGTCAATCTGCATATTTAAGGTAATCCATATTAAAATCCCAATGGACTTTTGCATAAAATGACAAGTTAATGATAGAGTTAACATGGAATTTCAAGGGACCCAGAATAGTCAGAGCAATCTTTAAAGTGGCAAATTTCAACAAACCATCCTTAACAATTTCAAAATTTAGTATAGAACAGCTGTAATGAAGACAGTGTAGCACTGGCCCCAGGGCAGACATATAAGTCAATGGAAAAGAATTTAGAATCCAGAAAAAAAAAAAGACATCTATGGGGAACTGCTTTTCAGCAAGAGCACCAAGACAATTCCTCGTCTTGAGAACGAAAATGCTCTTTAACAAGTGGCTTTGGAACAACAGATATCCTCGTGCAAAAAAAAAAAAAGTATGATCTCCTACCTCACACTGTATTCAAAACTAATTTAAAATGGTTAAAAACCTAACATAAGAGCTAAATTATAACAGTCATCTAAAAACACAGGATTAAAACTTTGCAAGTGCCGATTATGCAATTGTTTCGAAGGCACAACACTCAAAGTGCCAGCACCAAACTGAAAAAGGAAGTCAGACTTCATCAAAGTTTCAAACGTGTGCTTTAAGAAACACAATTTAAAAAATGAAAGCACAGTCCACAGAATGGAAACAGTATTTTTAAGTCAAATCTCTGGTAAGAGTCCACTACCCAGAATGTATTTTAAAAAACTCTTCCAACTCAATAATAAAAACACCAATCCAATTTAAAAATGGGTAAGGACCTTAAATAGGAATTTCTATATGAAGGTATGCAAATGGCTCACAACACCAGAGAAGAGGTTCAACATCATTACTCATTAGGGAAATGCAAATGAAAACCACAATGAGAGTCCACTGCACACAGACTAAGCAGATCGGAAGTGTGTGAGCACAGAGACACTCGGCCAGCAACACTCACAACAGCGTTGTTTAAAATAGCCAGTAAGTGGGAGCTGCCCAAACACCTGCCAACTGATGGGTGGCACACCACACAATGGAATATCAGTCAGCTACAAGAAGAACTGAAGTACTGACACATTCCGTAATATGAATGGACCTGGAAAACACTGTGCTAAGTGAAAGAAGCCAGACACAAAATGCCACACACGTGTCATTCCCCTTATATTAAGTGTCCAGAATAAGCAAATTCATAGAAACAGGAAACAGATTAGTGGTTTCCAGGAGCTACGATATGATAGCTGAATAGATATGGCATTTCTTCATGGAATGATGAAATATAAAATTACATAGTGTGGGTGATTGTGCAAACTTATTCATATACTAAAAACTACTAGATTATATGTTTTAAAGGATAAATTTTAAGACACGTTAATTTACCTGATTAAGAAAATATTCAAAAAATATTACTTGCTATGCCTCATGACTACTGCAAAATCTTATGAATCCAAAGTCTTTATAATATATAGATCTCACTTGAAAAAACTTTTAATATATTTGAACTGTATATATTTAATAATATGGTAATTATTATATAATAACAAGAAAACACTATAGGCAACTCTAATTACATAACATTTAGAAATAACTATTTCTGCACACTTAACACAGTTACCTGTGGAGATTAGGTTTGAATTCATCTAACTACATGGAAACAACTTTAATCCAATGTCATAGAAGGAAGAGGCCACAGGAGATGATAACAGCTGAGGAACAGTAGACTTTTGGACAAGGCTGATAAAACTTAAATCAACGCTAATCGTTTTCTGAAAATTATAGGAAATCTATTGATACCTGGAGAGTTTGATGATCCCACTATTTTCGGCACATCTTTGGACAAGTGAAAACCTCTTGGTAATCGAATAAAATGCCCAACTATGAAAAACACAAAAAGGAAATGAGCAACAATCTGCCTTGTGAGAAATTCCAAGACATTCAAATCGCACAGCATTATAGTACACTTGATCTTGGTTGAGGGGGTGAACCATTTGTCTGTGCCCCCTGACAATGGTGTCCTTGTTCCAGCCATACTGCCCTTATCATGCAATAAAATTAATCTCTCCCCTGCTTCCCCCATTATCTCTTCCCTCCAGCTTTTTCTATGTTCACTTAGAATTTTTTCTTCATTTCTAAGTCAAAATTCAGCCTCCTTCAAGATGCAGATCATGTGATGTCCCCTCCTCCTTTAAACCATCTGTTTGCCAATCTCATTTCTGACCTTTTCCAGTCTGTCACCAGCACTTCTCTTGTAATGCCCACTCTACACTGTATTAGGGTTCTTTGTGCACATATACAATTGTCCTTATTAGATTAAAAGCTCCATTTATAATAGGATCAGTGTTTGTGCCAACTAATCAAGAATGAGCATCAAGCACTGTATCTTGCACATAGTAAATATCACATAATGATTGTTAAATATGATATACTCTGCTATTCTCCAGTCACTGTTGAATAGGAAAGTGTGATGGGTATACTAGTGTGCATGGAACTAATGGGAGGAACAATATTAAAAAATGCTATAAAGAATTACCCAAGACCTTGAATAGAGAGGGAAGAAAGCAAAAAGAGTATGGTGTTCAAAGTCAAAAGACCTCAGTTTAAACCCTTCAGTTTTCTCATCTGCAAAATGAGACTAAATTTCAGATTTACAGAGTTGTTGGAGGAATTGAATGGAGTATTTTATAAACTTTAAAATGTGTTAACAAGTCTTTATTCTTCACTTTTGTACCGCTTATTGTACTTTTTATACCCTTAAGTCTGATTTTCTTATTGGACCAGAAGGCATGCACACCCTACCGTTATCTAGTATAGGACCCTGGGCCAAGCTCAAGAAGCACCCATTCCCTAGAGGGTAATGAAAGGTTACTGCTACTTCCTGCTTCTACCACAAGATTGACCTTTACAGTCCCGATGCCTAGGTTTGTTTTCTCCTATGAGCTTCACTCCATGCCTTTCCTTTCTCTTCCTTTTCCCGTGCCCATCGCCACAGCCCTTCTACGTTTATATTCTTGGGAGGACTTCTTTATACATTCTCCCCTATTTGAACAATTTTTAGCATTTTAAACAAATCACTTTCTTGTTTATTATTATTCAAGTCTCGGAGATACTTTATTTTTATAAAAGCCTAAAATATGAACACAAAAAACGCAGCCAAACCCTGTCTAGTTACATAACAACAGTCCAAGTTAACTCTCACTTTCGTGTTTGTTCATCAGCATCTTAGCGGAGGAAACAAACGGGCAGCAAAATATCAAAACTGAAAACCCAGAGTTCCCTGCATTTACTGCTAGAACCAACAGATGGCGCTCCGGCACCGCGGACACCCACAAATCGGGGCCGCCGGCTCCATTGCGAGCTACTCGGAGCACCACCGGGGCGCAGGTGGCGCTGGCGAAGCCGCACCGACCACTCAGGGCGTTTTATAAGAGCGGACCCAACTAGAAAACGTGACTGTGCACACGGTAATAACGTCCCCGTCCTGCGCTCCCTTATCACGCAGGTTCCTCCCTAGGACTCCTGTCTGGAGCCGGCCGGGAAGGCGCTTCAGGAGGTCCGCGCTGCTTGTGACACAAAAGCCCCCGTCCGGAGCCACGCCCAGGCCGACCGGCGGCCGCGGAGGCCTCACCTGCCGGGGGCGCCTGCACTACGAAGGCAGAAAGCAGGACGACCGCGGCCCGGAAGAGCGAGAAGCCCGCAGACCGGGCCTGCCGCCTGCCCCGCCGCGCCCGGCCGGGGGCCGAGGCCTCCATCCATACGCCGCCACCCGCCACCTGCCGACCGTCAGCGCCACCCGTCGTTACCCAGCGCGCGCCCACCCCCGCACCGGAAGTTGGCGGGCGGCGGACGGGAATGGCGGCCGGAAGAATGAACTTATTTCCGCCAGAGGGCGGGGCCGGGCCAATATGGCCGCCGGGACGAGGCCCGTTGAGCTTCCTGAAGAACAGCAGTGTCAATCTGCCATGACCTACGCACCTGGGCCTTCGGGACCACGCTGCCGCTCTGGGAATCTTAGGAGCACGAGCAACCTGTCAAAGGTTCTGGAACCTAGAAAGCAGCCACAGGCCCAGCAGCCTGTGCCTTTGCCTTTCCTTGTGCCCAGAGACGGCGCTTTCATTAGCTGGTGGGAGACTGAGGCTCAACCTGGGGGCCAGCCCTGAACTATACAGTCAGTGAGCACTGAGAGAGTCAGTGGACCGGCAGCCCTCAGAGCATTGCCTCCATCTCCCAACGGCATCCATTAGGTCCTTGCGGATGTGTGTGACTTCCAGAGGGTAAACCCACACCGCTGGGATCGCCAGGAAGGTCTTTAGCCCCAGGAAGAAGCTGAGTGAGAAGAACAGAGGGAGCCACTTTACATACAGTTGATCTTCATGCCACACGCAGCCTGGAAGTTGGTCTTTTATCACCTAAGTTCAGAAAAATAGATAAAACCATCTATCAGCCTATGAGGGTATATATCACCCGAACGCATTAAAGAGCATTGTGTCTCTGCTTTTCTGCAGCTGGGAGGATTTGCTTAATGGGAGCAGAACTGCGAGAGAAACGCATCTTATCCCGTTGGTGGAAATACGTTGAAGAATGAAGTTTCCGGCAACTATGATGACACAATGTCTAATGACAGTGTGCATTGTCACCTTTAATAGGAAGAAATGAGTGCTCCAATGTGTTACAGTTCTAGCTGTTACTAAGCAGCAAAGGTTCTGTTTTGTTTTGTTTTTCTGTCCTGGTCTGTTACTGCCCTGTGTGGATTTTGGTTAAGAAAAAAATTCTCACCTTTAAAACAGAAAGGAAACCCTACTGTGTAAATATTTAAAAAGCCAAGTCAATAATATTATGATAGGTTAACCAGTTCTCAACTATTGGAAGTATATGTTTTGTGGTTACGGAGAAAGGAGTCATCAGAAACTATTTATAGTCATCCAAAATTCTACAAGAGAGAAAGGCCATGGATATGTACTCACAGCACACCCCTGGGAAGATAAGTATCTCTGAACAGCCCATTCTTTCCAGAATAAACCCTGTGGAGAATATAGATTACCCACATTACTGGAACCTCTTAAGAAAAATGAACATGCCTTTTGTGAAAGGAGTTGAGGACAGACATGACTTTGGCAGAATGGAAAAGAAATGCAACCCCAGCTTCCTTAAATTTCACCCTTATCCTGCTTCAGGAGTGCCAGATTATCACTTACACTACCCTTACCCCCCACCACATGGGCCAGACTATCCATTATTTCCACTTCGTGATGATGTGCCCTTAGGTGACCCCTGTTCAGGGTTTTTGAGTCCTGGGGCTGATGCTGATTTAAAACCTGACATTGGCAGAACCATACCAAGCCTGGTGGACTTCAGTGATGTGAAACCTCAACAACGAGTTCCCAGGCCAGACACTGGATTGCAGACGACACTGAAAAGGCAAACACTTTTCTTAGACGAATTGAAGCAAGACAGGAAATGGAACTCTAGGGCAACACCAGACATTTCCATCAGAGCAAGACTTGGAGGTAAATAAAGTGACGTAGGGTTTATAATTTTTAAACATTGAGACAAGAGAGAAGAGCATGGATATAAGATTCACTATTTAGTATTTGATTTAACATAAAGTTGTAAAGAACAGAATAAGAAAATCTTATTTTTGAATTATAGACTGTAAGGGAACAGTAGTAAACATGATAAGCTTTTTAAAAAAGTATCCTATTTGTAAAATAAGATTTGGCTTTTCAAAGTGCATTTATTAGTATAATTGACCAACACAAAGTATATGTTAGATAATTTATTCTAGACATGTAGATAACCTAATTTCACCACAAGGCAAATTATATTTGACATTGATAAATATGTAGCATGTGTCCTCTCCTTATCTCTTTTTTGAAGGAATAATCTGATGGTTATGCAAGGGTTTCCAGGGACTGAAATGGAATGGGAAAGTAATTGGAAGTAAATCTGGGGGTCTGGTAAGAACAGGAGTGGAGCAGAAGCAGCCCCTGCAGAAATAGCTGGAGGCGCAGTGGATGAGCCCTGCCAACAGCTGTTCCCTGCGCCTCCCCGGGAGGTGCTCCCAGACAGCATCCCGGGCCTGGCCCAGAAGTCCTAAGATGCACCTCCACACAAAGCCCCAGGGAACGACCTTGGATGGATGTGTGTCTGGAAGACAGGGAGCACGAGCAGGTTGACATCTTTGAGCACATGGAAAGGAAACAGCAAGTGCTGCATCTGGAGTTGCTGAGCTACCTCTGGCGTCAGAGGCTGTACCAGCCTCATGCTGCTCCTGTTCAGCACCCAGCCATGGCCCAGAGGCCCACACAGACCACGTGGGGTGGGACAGTGACACCAGCGAGTAGTGGAGCAGTGTGGGCAGTCACGGGTCCTGCCACTGCGTGGAGAGAGCCACAGGCAGGTGAGGTCAGAAAAGGGTAAGAAGACAGGTATAGGTACCTTTCACAGCCCCACCCTCCAGGTGCCCACTTTTGAACCAGAAAGAGCAATTTGCAGAAACACAAGCATAGGATGAGAATTACGCTTTTTGTGCACTCTGGTTGTGGACTTGGCAGGGGGCTTAGGAAAAGTTCTCAGTTTGGAATTTTTCTGTGAAGCATATAAAGAAAGTTTAACAGCCCATGTTTAAAAAATCATTGTTTTACAATCCATTGGAAATACCATGTAGGGAAAGATAGCACTACTAAGAATAAAATGCACTTTTGTTTACAAATGATAAACACTAACTAAGGTGTGAAAGGTGTAAGTATCTGCACTGAGGGGATGCTAGTGAGTTCCGGTCCATCTCACACAACACATCTCACTGACTTTGAACTGGTGCCTGCTGTTCTAATCTGTCAGCAAAGGTGTTGAGCTCAGGCATTTGCTCGTATTCCACTTTGTAACAGTATTCATTGTCAAGGGTACTTTCTGAGAGGAACTGAATTCGTTTTGCATAGTCGTCCTCTGTAAGGCAACCATGCCACTCTACTAAAACCCGGCCCAACACTGGGCTGTTTTTGTAAGTTTTTCTAAGAACTATATCCCAACAAATTACAAGTTGAAGAAATAGCTTATTAAAGCTAATTTCTGACTAAAATAAGGTTATCAGCGGTTGTGCCCACAATTCGGAGCCAAGTAGAGAGCTGATCTAGCCTCCACATTGCACTACCTGGGTCTGCACAGCAGAATGCAGAAGAGAGGCCCTAGGGTCAGACTGTCCCAGCTTAAATCCAGGCAGAAAGCTGACTTTTACTCTGACCTTGGAGTAATCGCTGATCTTTTTATACCTGTGTGTCTTTGTTTGTAAAATAAGTTCACATGCTCATAATACTTCATGAGATTAGAGTGATGGCCATTAAGTGTAATTCATGTAAAAGTGTCTAACATGAAGGAATACGCCAGTAAATGTTGGATATTATAAAGCTGGGTAAAGTCTACACTTTTTGTCCCTTTTTTACTTAAATTGGCAATAATACTACTTCTTACAACTTTCTTGTAAAGTTGTAAGAAGTAATGAATTAAAATATCAAATAGCAAATTTTCTGGAACATGTTAAAGCATGCAATTAATAGTACTTGTTATTATTAGCTATTAACATTTTCAAAGAGTAATACCAGGAATTTGGTGCATGGTCTCAATATAATCTGTCCTAGGCTTTCAAGGACTTTGTAGATCCTGGAAAGAGTCATTAATTATAAATAAGTACTAAGTTTTTAGCAAACCTAAATACTTAGATTGCCAATATATTCTGATAAGGAAGTACATCTTCTGAGAATTAATTGTATCACAGCCCAGCATGCATTCATAGATACCAAAGCCAAATCACAACAACTTGGATTGCTGACTTGCCCAATTCTGACCTTGTCTAGACATTTAACTGGGTGCAGTATTTCCTTTTTTGTTGAGAGTTGGATGTCTTCCTCCTGCACCCATCAAACGTTCCAAACTCATTCTAATTATATGCAAATCCTTCATTGCTTGGTCTCTTTGCCTCCTGTTGCAGCAGATGACGCAGTTGTCCTTGTCAATGAAAAAGAAGAGGTTGCCTACTGCATCCTCCCTGATTTCCCTGCCTGCAGCCTCCTAATATCAATATTTATAGCTCTATCGTATGCCTTCCCACCTTTTTAAAGTCACTGTTGTGGCTGGAGCTGCTGTCACAGTGTACCAGAGCCTGGGTGGCTCAAACAACAGACCTCTGTTTCTCACAGCTCTGAAGGCTGAGAAGTCCAAGGCCAAGGTGCCAGCTGATGTAGGCCCTGTTGAGGACCCTCTTTCTGGCTTGCAGAAGGTTATCCATGTGCTCTGTCCTCACTTGGGAGACAGCGCTCTGGGCTCCCTTCCTCTTCTCAGAAAGACACCCATCCTGTGTTGGGGCCCTCCCCTCATGTTGTAAATACATTCCAAAGGCCCAGCCTCCAAATACTATCACGTCTTGGGGGAGACGTCAACATGTGGATTTGGGGATGCAGAAACAGTCACTCTGTAACAACCACCTTAACCATTTTCAGTGTGTGGTGCAGCATTGGGCAACCCCTACACAATCCAGCTCCATAGCTGTCTTCATCTTGCAAAACTGAAACTTGGTACCAAATAAACCCTAACTGCCTAGTTCTCCCCTCCTCCAGCCCCTAGAGGCCAGTTTTGCTTTCTTCTCGGTGAATTTGACCACTTAGACACTTCATGTAAGTAAAATCATGTAGTATTTGTTTCTCTGTGACCACTGTATTTCACTACAATGTCCATGTCTTAGCATGTGTCAGAATTTCATTTCTTTTTAAAGCTGAATAAGTTTCCACATCAGGTATACACTACATTTTTAAATTGTCTATCCATCAGTGGACACTTGGGTCTCTTCACTTGGGTTGTTGGCTGTCGTGACTAATGCTATGAGCATACATGTACCAATATCTCTTCAAGACCCTGCTTTCAATTCTTTAAATGTGCACCCAGAAGTGGGAGCACTCAACCCCATGGTGACTCTGTGTTTGACTTTGTGAGGGGCTACCCCTCCAACTCTCACAGCAGGTGCACGTTATACAGTCCTGCGTCATTGCGCAGCTCTGATTTTCGAGCTTGAGAGTGAAGCCCACTTGGCCAGGGCGGGTAGTCCTTCAGGTGTGCTCCAAACCGCCGTTCCCCAGTGTTCTGAAGAGGAGTTGTGCACTGGTGTTTCTTAGGGGTCAAGTCCGGCTTTTGTGTCAGTGTGATGTTGGCTGCATAGTGAGTAGACCTGGGAGTGTTCTCTCCTCGTTAAGTTTTTAAGAAGAGAGCAAGGAGGATTGGTGTCAGTTTTTAAATGTTTTGCAGAATTCACCAGTGAAGCCACTGATCTAGAGCATTTTTGTCTAGGTAGGTTTTTGATTACTGATTCAAATCCCTTTGTGTTTATAGGTCTGCTCATGTTTTCTGTTCCTTAATGATTCGGTCTGGGTGGTTGTGTGATTCTAGTAGTTTGTCCATTTCATCTGGGTTATATAATTTGTTGGTGTACAATTATTCATAGGAATCTCTTATAGTTATTTTAGTTTTATAAAATCAATGTAATGTTTTCACTCATTTGTTATTTTATTTATTTGAGTCTTCTTTTTCTTTGAGTCAGTCTAGCTAATTGTCAATTTTGTTGATCTTTTCTAAGAACCAACTCTTGCTTTCATTGATTTTCCCTCTTTTTCTATTTTGTATCTCTGCTGTAAGCTTTATTATTTCCTTTCTTCTGCTAGCTTTGGGTTTAGTTCGTTCTTTTTTAGCTCTATCGGGTACAAATTTAGGTTGTTGATTTGAGCTCTCTCTTCTTTAATGTAAGGATTCATGTCTATAACATTTTCCCTTAGCACTGCCTTTGCTGAATCCATAACTTTTATTGTGTTTTCATTTTAATTTGTCTCAAGGTAATTTCTAAATTCTCGGCGAGTAATAAATACTAACTCTGCATTATTGGAATAACCCTAACGCATGAATTTCAGAGCTACTCTGTTCTCAATGATGAGAAAAATTGCTAGATAACCTGCTGAGAAAAATCAGTCAAGAACACACACGTTGTACCATTCTAATAGGCAGTATTTTGGGTGGAAGAAGAAATATGTATTGCAGTTTGGTGGAAGCACGCATATGTCTGTTTTCAGGTTGGACGAGCCCACTGAAAGTCCCGCCTCCACCGCATCGTCATGAAGGGTGCTCAATAAATCACACATATACATTTGATGAGGAAGCTACGTGCACGGTAAGATTTCCTCGTCGGGTGGTACAGTACAACATGTGTGATTGTTTATTTTACAGTCTGTGCCTTTGATATTTTGAGCCTTGTCAGACAGCTGTAATTTATAAAACGTGTCTGATGTGCCAGGCCCTGTGTGGACCTTCGAGATCACTGTGTATTTTAATTGCCTTGCTTCAGGCAAGCCCTTCAACTATGCCCTTCAACTATGCTTCAGGGGGAGACTGAGTGGGAGAGGCTGGCAGTGCCCAGCCCAGACCCCATTTCTGCAAGTGCACCCCTCCAGCAGCAGGAGGGGCAGCCAGTGTGGCTGACAGCCACCACCCTGGCCAGAGCTCGGGACTCTCAGACCAGAGGAGTATGATGAGTCCCAAAACAGATGAGCAAAGCTGTACACTGCCTTGAACAAGTCACCCTGAAGCTGCAGGGAGACCTATGCGCAGAGGGTAGGGGTGGAGGACACAGAATGCCTGCGGACTATTCCTCTCAGTGCGGCCCGCAGTCGGTGTGGCCACACCGCCCACGCTCCGGGAGCTCATAACCACGAAACTAGACTTCTGAACACAACTAGGACACAGGTCAAATGTAGGATGAGTGAAAAAATGGAAGTAGCAGAAATGTACATCCTTGAAAGAATTACTGAAAATTAAACTTTAGTGAAAACCAGATAGAGCCAAGAACCAAGGGGAAAAAAAACAAGGAGAATACAGGGGGAAAAAGTGGGCAAAGGACTGGTAAAATGTGGTGGGAAATCTAAATAAATAGTAACCATCAGAGATGGCAATAAAAATGCTTATAATAATATTTAATTAAATTATTTTTATTAAAATGAGTTGAAAGGAAGAAGGTAATATCTCAAAGCTAGTGTCTTTGTATTATTTAATAAGACAAAAAATAAATATTATAATTCCATGGAACTAAACACTATCTGCCAAAATTTAAAATTCAAAAGTTTTCTCATAAAAATCTGACTTTCCATTGACTTTAATATATGTATTGTGAATTTTAACTTAACCATTAGGATAATATGCACAAAATGTAAACTCCCAAGACAATAGGGGAAAGTGGGCCAGCACACGTTTGTTGATCCAGAAGGTGCTATAGAAGAAGAAAATGAGGAGGAAGAAGAAGGCCTGGTGAATAGATAACATCACCAATTCCCATGCGTGTCTGATCTCTCTTATTCTTTATGACTTCTAGGATGATGGCGAACCACTTTCACAACCAAACAAGAAATACAATGCAAAGGACTGCTTTTATAAGTCCTCTACACAAAAGTAAGAATTTTTCCAAATAGAATTTTGATTTAAAAATGTGATTCTTTTACCTTTAATGATATGTCCCCTTTATATGTACGTTATCCCAAACTTTATGAGAAATTGAGGGGACATAGATACAGCTACGTAGTCACTTCTGTCTGTCACTGATGTAAACAGAAGGAGGTCAGCAGGAACCCTCTGTTTTGTGGAAGAGTAGACCCCAAAAGGGAGACCCCAGGGAGAGAGAGGGGGTGAGTGCAGCCTCAGAAAACAGGAGCAGAGAGAGCTTAAGGGAGGTTCGTTTACTCCGTCAAAAAACGTAGTGAACCCACTACGTGCCTATGCCCTAGACTGTGAGATTCATCAGTGAATAAAGCAAAGATCTTAGTCCCTCAAAGAGCTCTAATTCTAAAAGGAGGCGGACACCAAGCAACAAACACAGGTAATAGCTCACCTCTGAGAAGGAGATAAGACTGTAAAACACTGGAGACGTGCTACCGTGTAGGTCAGAGATGGCCATGGCTGAGGGTAGGAGGTAGGACTCGGCAGGCAGCACTTGGCTTCTGGGTGTGTTTTGGAAGCAGGGCCCACACAATTCCCAGCTTGGAGGTTATGAGCCTGAAGCAGGGAAGTCAGGTGTGGGCTGTGCAGCTGGACATAGTGAGCTTGTACCCTTAGTACCGTGAAGGCAGGTGTGGCAGGGTCAGAGGGAAGGGTCAGCAGTTGGTTTGAGATGTGCAGAGCGTGGAGATGGCCGGTGGACATCCAGTGGCCCCTGTCAGGCATTGCTCTGTAGTTAGGGAGAGGGGTCTGTGCTAGATGAATGCTTCTGGGTGCCATGGCCTGTAGATGGGTGCCTAAGGCCGGACCACTGGCTGAGGGCCCCAAAGTAAGTGTTCCGGTGTCTTGACATAATAAACTTTTTCTGTAACCTGGACAATGCACACATGTACATGCCTTAGTTCCCCATCGCTGTGTGGCCGATGACCACCAATTAGTGGCTTTAAGCCACGCCCGCTCATTACCTCCTGGTTCTGAGGCTCACAAGTCCAGGCTCACCCGATGGGGCTTGGGGTCAGGGTTTCTCGGGCTGAGGAGGCTTCCAAGGTCATGACAGCTGCTGGTAGAGTCCCACCCACCGCAGCTGTGGGGTGCTCAGGACTGGCTCAGGGACAGCTGAGGAGTGTCCACTGCGGTCACCAGCTCAGATAGGACCCCTTAGAATGATCTGCTTATTGATAAACTTGGATTCAGTTGACTAGGGACCTTGGTTACATGGGCATAGTCCCTTCTTTCCTGCGAAGTTGCCACACAAAGTCTCATAGGAGTGACAGCCTCTTGAGGCTACTTGCTGAGCCCACGCCTGAGGAGAGGCCACCATCTAGGGCCTGTGTGGCCAGGGCAGGAACCCTGGGGGGATGCCTTCAAGATCTGCGGGCCACAGTGCATGGTATAGGGTGAGCTATCCTAACTGAATATGTATTTTTTATAAACTGTCATCCTTTAATAATTACGTAGAGCTTACGAAGTTGTTCCCTGGGACAAGATGCTGCCACCAAAACTCGGTCCAGAAGAAACGACAGTGGAGAAAGCCACCGACCCCGTCACACAGTGTTTCACACTGAAAAGATACGAGAGGGCACCTGCCCTCACGCAGGTCAGAGAACCCCGAGGCAGCAGTGAGTGGACTGCTGAATGCGATCCAAACAATGGGCGGCAGTGAGATTTGGTTTAGTGGTGGCATCCTGGGAAAAACGTGTGTGTGTGTGTGTGTGTGTGTGTGTGTGTGATTGAAAGTACGTTCCATAAAGGTCATCAGTGACCTCAGATTTTTAACATCTGTGCAAATATTTTAGAAACTTAACACTACCTCTTTCTCAAGAGTCATTTGCATTGACTATGTCCATTTTAAAAACTGGAAACGAAGGCACAAACAGTGAAGACTTGGAGAAGTGATTACCGTTGCACCAGAGAGCCTGTGCCGGGGACACTTTCTGAAACTGAACCTAGAACTGACCTCCGGGCCTTTCTGGGAGGAATGGGGAAGTCTGTTCATGAAGCCCAAGCTGTTCCAGTCTAGGAGACAGGGCGTGCCAGAGTCCGCGGAGGTGGCTGTCCATGGAGGTGGCCGCGTGTTCCCTTCCTGGGCAGCAGGGACCCATCGCAGGGATGGTTCTGTCCACACTGCAGCCAGGGCCGCCTCCTGCACCAGGGCCCCTTTCCAATGCTCCACCAAGTCCGAGCCCACACTCTGTGTAACGTGGACCCATCCCCCTGCCCGGGCGCATGCCCACAACCCTGCCGCAGCGCCACCTCTGCTCCCCCCTCCCTCCAGCCCCATGCCTGCCAGCCCGCCCACCACCCTCTACTCCTGCCACGCACGACAGCACTGCCAAGCTAACCCTCGGGAACTCTCCAGGCCTTGGAGCGAGGAGTCAGCCCTCACTCCCCACTCCGGACACCTGCTGTGCTGTGCGGGCAGGTCTTCTGGGGCACCCGTATCCCTCCCACCACCCGCTCTGCTTAGAGGCCCCACAGGACCTCGGGTGGCGCCCTTTCCTTCAGTGAAGCATGTAGGGATGGAATGGCGCTCCCCACAGTGAAACGGTCCTCAGCAGCAACCCTGTGGGGGGAGGGCATTCCAGAACCGCGTATTAAGAAGCCCACCTAATCTTGAAACTTTTTTTCAGCTTTTACAGAGAAAAATGATATTAAGAGAGGCAAAACAGCTTTAATATAGTCTCGTGGGATTTTCACATGGAAATTAAAACCAGTTAAAGGACAAGAGCAAAGGTGTCCAAGTTATACATTTTAAGGCTCTCTCAACCATATGAGAGTATTAATGACACCTTACAAAGATGGGTTGTTTTACTACACATCATCTGTTGTTAAGTTATACTGGTATCTGAGCCCCTTCTCTGCAAGACGAGGTTCCAGGCTCAGAGGCAGGAACAGGGAGACCTGGCTGGGTCTGCAGGGAGTGGAGGGCTAAGGGAGACCTGAGAGAGCACAGTCTCTGGTGTGAAAACCAAAGCGAGACCGCCACTCGGGCTCCCCCAAGGGAGGTAGGGGTGAGGCAGACCCAGCACAAGGATGCAACAGAGATGCAGGGTCCGAGACCAGAGTCGCTCAGAGCCAATGTCCAGGGCACACTTGGGGCTGTTCTGGGCTGCTCTGGGCGTGTTGTCCATGGGGAGCCTGGGGCTTACATGGAGGCATAGAGCACAGTTACGGCCACTGGACCTCATGGACTAGAAGTGAGTTCATGGACTAGAGGTTCCAGTGACTCACCCAGTAAATTTGTGTCATTTGTTCTGATGGTTTCAGATGGTTGGTGGACTCTGGGACAGATTTCAGACAAGATCTTTCTCGGTGCCAGTCAAACCAGTGAATTTGTAAGTTTTGTCTCCTAATGCTCTTACCACCAGGTTCCTCAATGGTGCCCACTCGTCGCCCAGAGAGCCGGCGCTGTTCCGTGTCTGGGGAGCCTCCAGAGGCCACAGCTTCTGCGCGTTGTCTCTCAGCCCCCCTCAGAATCTAGGCTGCTCAGCACACCCCAACGATTTAAAAATCAGGGGTGATTTAGAGAGACATGAAGCATTCTAATGCGGCAAAATGGGTGAGCTTTGAGAGACTATAAATTCCTTTATCAGCCCCTGTGTCATATAGTTCTTTAGGGCTCCATGAACGCTAAAAATTGTGACTTTAGTAGAAATTCTTCCACGTATGTACCTTTTTCATTTAGTGTGAAAAACAGCATTTCTGCCTTTGAAAGTCTCCTTATTTTCGTCCTCACCACGACCAGCTGCCCTGTCTGACCTCTGAGGAAGCAGGCAGCCAACAAATGATCAGAGATGCCCAGGGGGAGAGCTTGGTGCCAGACTCAGCTCATGAGCGTCCATGAAGACCCGTGTCCCCAAGAGCTCAGGGACACTTTGTTCTGCTTGGTGTCCAGTAGACACTACGCCTCACGTTATTGCTCTTTCAAATTATCAGTTTGGGAGGCCATTTCCTATGAGAGGGCTCTGAAGGCCTTGTTTTTATTTCAATGAGAGAAATACTGCAATAATTTGATGTTTGTTAAGTAAATGTCAGTAACTCCACTGCCCGTATTTTCTCTTTTTCCAAGTGTGAGTCCAAGTTCTAGAAGCAAATACATCCCTCTCTACACGTGAGTAAAGTTTCTTAATGCTCTAAGGCCTCTGGATTTCCATCTGGACGGTTTGCACTCACTTTTTATGACAGCTCCTGCTTTCTAACACATCTCTACCTGTTCTCGGCTCAGTGTGCACTTGGTGTCACACTTCCATCAAGGGTTGTGACAGATTATTTTTAAAGGATTTTATTTACTTTTAGGGAGCAAGGAAGGGGGGGAGAAAGAGAGGGAGGGACATATCAACCTGTAGTTGCCTCTTGCATGCCCCCTACCGGGGATCTGGCCTGCAACCCAGGCCTGTGTCCTCACTGGGAATCCAACCAGAGACCCTTTGGTTCACAACCCAGCACTCAATCTACTGAGCCACACTAGCCAGGGCAGATTTGTTTCAGGTTTTAATAAAGAAAGGGGGTGTGGCATTTTTATGCTTTGCCAAATTGGCTATTTTGGGAATGAAATATCTTGGACAGTCCTAACCCAGGCGAGGGTGATCGGGAAGATGACTTCACCTGAAGTGGAAGGTGCGACATGTCACTGCCAGTGCTGCTGCACGTGCAGCCTCGTTCTCGTCTGAACCTGCACCTGGCCCTGCGCGGGGTGTGCATACCCATCTGCGCCTTCTCTGCCTCAGATGGACGCAGGGTGTTGGCTTTCCTTTCAGTGTGTTTGGGCGGCTGTAACCAAACATGCCAACTGGGTGGCTTCCAAACACCAATACTCCTCACCATTTTGGAATCTGGGCGCCAGTGTGCTCGGGTGATGGTCCTCTCCCAGGTCCCAGATTTCTCGCTGGGTCCCTGCGTGGTGGCAGCAGTGAGGGAGCTCTTGAGGTCACATCCTTAAGACCATGAGTCCTGTTAGAAGTGCTCCACCCTCCCAATCGCAGCACCATCTCCTCCTGCTACCATGACCTTTGACACAGGAGCTCTGGGTAGGGCGGGGGGATAAGAGCATTAAGGTCTTAGCACCTTGGAGCAAAGTAAATGCAAAAAAATGGAGGGGTGGGGGCCGTGAACCGTCATCCCTCCCCAGTCTCTGTGGCCTCTTGGGCTCTCCAGCTGAGTCGACTGGCCTTCCTAGCAGCAGCCCTGCAGCTCCTCAAGGACCCCTGACCCATTGGGACTCAGCCTCCTCTCAGGCCCCCGAGGCACGTGGCTGGTCGCCCAGGTGCCCAGGCCCCAGTGCATTTCTGTCTGCCCAGGAGCTCTGGCAGATGCTGGTCTCCCCCTCGCCCCTGGGCCCCAGGCCACCTGCTGAGTCCCACGCCAGCTGTCCCCAGGTTGCAGGGACAGCTGCCTCTGCTCACAGACACTCACTGGCCACCACGCTCCCTCCGGCCCACACTCAGCTCAGGGGACCTTGAGGACTCCTGTTCAAGAGAGGAAAAACCTCCTTTGTTTCTTTTTAGGCACCATCACGTGTGGGTTTTCCTTTTATTTTCAATTTTGGTATATTTTGGCAAATGGGGTTTTTTGGAGGTCAGAGCACTGTCTGTCCATTTCTTCTGTGTTTCCTGTGAAGAAGCCCACACCCTCTGTCCTTCTCACCTGACAGTGGCCATGTGCAGTCCACCAACACCGACGATGTGGACAACCCCTGTGGGGACAGCAAGTCTCTGGCCAAGCCACGGCACTCCCAAATCCTCTGCACAAACACAAGTTGGTGAGTTCCACTCACTGTTATCCCCCCGCTTTGTTGTTAAGGGTGGGGCATGGTGACGGGTTTTACCGGAAATGAAGGAATGAAATATGGCCTGCCACTGTGCATCGCTGAAGGGGACAGACGGCTTTTCCTCAGTGAACTGCAGTTTGTCACAAGGAGACGACAGTCTTGGGCTCAGACTCACTGAGACACCTTGATACACATGTTTATTGGCTTTGCCAGTGGGAGTGCTGAGTACTGAGTATTGAGTGAGTGCTGAGTACTATGCCAGTGGGAGTACTGAGTACTGATTGAGTGCTGAGTACTGGGTACTGAGTACTGTATCCGTGGTAGTACTGAGTACTGAGTGGGTACTGAGTACTGTGCCGGTGGGAGTGCTGAGTACTAAGTGAGTACTGAGGACTGTGCCAGTGGGAGTACTGAGGCCCAGAAATGACCTCCGTGCGACTCCTAGGACGCTTGGTGTCAGCCAAAGTCTTGGGCTCTCTCCATGCCACCAAGCTGGTGAGTGCCATGGTGGTGCTCACTGGGCTCTGGGTGGCAAAGAGACCTGCAGTGACTCCGTGCAAAGCTGTGGTGTGACCTGCGGCTGTATTGTAAATATTGTTGCTTTTTATTTTTTAAAAGTATGAGATGTGTCCATGAGGAACAAGTTACATTTTGCATTTGCTGCTCCGCATTCGCATTCGTTTAACTTGTGGTTAAATGTAATATCCTGCAATAATCCTGAATTTTTCTGTCTTCTGTCCTGACTATTAAATTCTTTTGACCACTTGGCCAAACTGTAAAACATGTTCTAAAACTACACTTGGTTTTAAAATACAGTTATGTAACTTACCTCAGTTAAATGTCTGTCCAATCCAACCAAAAGGTAAAACGAGTCACACAGAGAGTGTGTTAAGAGCCATGGTGACATGAGGATGAAGAAGGCGAAGGCTTTGCCCTCCCACCCCCGGGGACTCTGCGGGGCTGACAAGCTCATGCACAGTGGTTACAACGTAAAGCGGGTGAGCCGAGTCCCCGGAAAGGCCAGCTGACTGCTCCCAAACCCTCCCATGCACCAAGGGACCACTGCCACCTGGGGACTTGGAGTCTCAGTCTCCCCCGTGTGATGTTCAGCTGAGTCCTGAGGAAGGGTCAGCGGGTGTGAGTCTTCGATCAATTCTGAAAAGAAATTATTGCTGTTAAATGTAGCCATTCTAGAAATGTTAAAGCAAGGATGCAGGATAAACCAATTTTAAAATATTCGACAGGCATGAAAATGTAATAATGTTTCTGCTTTGAAATGGCCAGGCAAATGTTGAGTAGTTCTGTGAGACATTCTCTGGGGTCCCTCTCAGAGAGTGAAGAGCAGGCCACAGCATTTTCCACGTGACATTCACCACTTAACTTGAATAGATTTGGGGGAGTGCTTTCCACCTCATTTTGCCATTCACTCCGTCGTTTTAAGTTTTGTTATTATGTATTGGTGTCAAGCATACGACTTAGTGGTTGGACAATAGTGCGCTTTAGAGGGGGTTCCCCTCGACCCCTCCGGTGCCCACCCGGCCCCATACATGTCACTGAGATATAATTGACTGCGCTTTCTGTGCTGTGCTTACTTCTCCCAGACTATTTCATAACCACCCATTTGTGCTTCTTAGTCCCCTCACCTCTCCCACCCAGCCCCCAACCCCTCCCCTCCTGCAGCCATCAGTCTGTTCTCTGTGTCTACAAGTCTGTTTCTGTTTTGTTTGTGCATTTGTAGTGCCCTTTAGATTCCACGTCTACGTGCAGTCACGGTGTCTGTCCCTCTCTCGCCGACTTATTTCACTATATTGTTACGCCCTCTGTCCAGGTCCATCCCTGCCGTCCCAAAGGGTAAGGTCTCCTTCTCTTTCACAGTGAAGCAGCATTCCACTGGGCAAGCGCACCACAGCTTTTTCCATGCTGGGCACTTGGGTTGCTTTCATAGCATGGCAATTGTACGTAGCGCTGCTGTGAATGTGGGGTGCTCATGTTCTTTCAACTTAGTGTTTTGGGTTTCTTTAGATAAATCTCACCTGCAATCACTGGGTCACAGGCAGATCCATCTTTAATTTACTGAGGAAACTCCACACTGTCTCCCACAGCAGCTGCAGCAGTCTGCATTCCCACCAACAGTGCACTGGGGTTCCCTTTTCTCCACATCCTCTCCAACACTTGTTGTTTGTGGATTTGTTGACAACAGCCATTCTGACAGGTGTGCGGTGATATCTCCCTGTGGTTTTAATTTGCGTCTCTCTGATGATTGGTGACATGGAGCATCTTTTCATATGTCTGTTGGCCAACTGTATATCCTCTTTGGAGACCTCTATTGAGGTCCTCTGCTCACTTTTTAATTGGATTCTTTGGGCTTTTTCTGGTGTTTAGTAGAGTGAGTTTTTTATAAATTTTGGATTTCAACCCCTTCTCAGATGTATCATTGGCCAACATGGTCTCCCATTTTAGTAGCTTGTCTTTTCAGGTTTTGTGGGGGTTTTGTTTTTATGGTTTAGATACACTGACTCCAGACTGACGACTACTGGACTGACAATCAGAAACACCGTTTAGAATCAGTGTCCCCACGTCACAGGATCGGCACCCACAGCAGCGCCTTCCTGCCGTGTCTGTAGCTGCCCCCTGGGTCTCAGGGACACCCCTCGCCCCTGCCTCCCCACCAGAACCCATCTGGGCTCTTGTGTAGCTGCGTGCTTGCTGCCTCTTGCTCTGCGCTGCCGAGGTCAGGCGGGAGCGCGGTGACGCACCGCCCCCACATAAAGCTGTGCATGTTGCCAGCGTGTTTCAGGGGGACAGCACCCTCCCAGTGGGGCTGTTGTGCCAGTTTTCTCGCCGAAAGTACTTGGTGATTTGGTAGGTGTTTGCAGTTATTGAAGAACATGTAAAGTTAAGGAACTCAGAATGTCACTGCAGTTCCCAGGGAAGCTCCTGACTGCTAACTTCAGACTGGTGAGGGGTCAGTGGGACCCACAACACCCTTTGGGCTCAACAGGATTCTCCAAGCTCCGGACAAACGTCTATTTTGTCCCCTCGGGACACGTGTGCTATTTATCAAACCAGGGTCCTGTTCGGGAGTTCAAGAAGAAATGCAAAGTCCTGCCCAGTGACAGTCTTCCCAGTGACACTGGGAAGGTGAGGCTGACGAGGGCCCGCCCATCTGCACCAGGCTGAGCTGTCCCCCTTCTCTGGCTGGCGGGGCACGCCGAGGGAAGCTCCTCATCTCCCAGCAGTGGGCTTGCAGGTCGATGCGTTTCAACGCAGTTTCCACAGCTGATGCCTCCATGGGCCCTGGGCACAGAGCACCTACTTCATTGGAATGGTGTGTGAGGAGACCTGTGCAAAGTCAGGTCCAAAAGTGTGTAGCCTCCCCCCTGCCCCAAGGTGGGGGCGGCCGCTGGGCCATGCAAGCTTGCGTGGACTAATTGCTGGAGCCACCTGGGGTGGGAGGAGCGCGCGTCTCCCTCGGTCCGGCCTGCTTTACCAACAAGGAAACAGGCTCAGAGGACAGACGCGCACCAGGGGACAGGGCAGGCCCACACCTCACGCTCTCCAGGTGCCAGGGACTGCTGAGTGCCATGTGCCACCCCCACCAGGCCGTGGCCTGATATTTTCAGACTTCACACAGCCTCACGCTCACCATGCCTTTCCCATGGTCGCCTCTTGCTGGAGCATTTGCCGGGACAGGCACTGTCCTGGTGGATGGCGAGAAGATGCTGCCCAAGGTCTGGGCTGGAGAAGGGAGACTCCTGGTGGTCTGATGTGCTGCACCTTTGAAAGAACAGCTTCCCACAGCCCTGGGGGAGGAATAAGGCTCAGAGTGGACGTGCCTTCTGCTGGACGAGTCTGCCGTCTCAGAGAGCACCCCTCGTCCCATTGGTTTTCAGCTGCAGTATTGGGGTCAGAGGTGGGAGGGGCTGGAGCACAGCCTGCAGTCCCCCTGTGCTATGCCAGGATGGCCCCGCTGCTGGGGAGGGGCTCCTGCCCACCACCTTCCCCTAGCATGGGGTCTGCGCCCTGCTGAAGGAGGGGGTGCAGCGTCTTGGGACCGAGCAGAACACAGTCCCTGGGGAGGGCGGTGATGGCGGGGAGACTCCAGTGCCTGGGCATGCCTGGAGGCCGCAGCGCCCATCGCATCAGAGAAGCGCAGTCCAGTGGCTTGAGTGGCGCTGTCTTCGTCTCATGGAGCGAAGGAAGCACATGGCCCTCTCCATTCCCTCTGCTGCCTGCTCAGGTCCCACCAGGCCTTCCTGACGACCCAGCCTTGACCTCCTGAGCATCCCCACCCCAGGGCCTGCACCCTGCTGGCTCTGCAGCTAGACACCATCACGCCTGCCCCAGGCAGACCACCGGCAGAGTGGGGCTCAGAGCTTCAGTTCCCTGTCCAAGGCCACGTGCTGGCAGGCGCAGCTCTGGGGTTCAATGCCATCTGCTCTCATCTTGGCCCCTGCACTCCTTTCTGCGTTTCTCTCACACCCTTTGCGTCAGTGGTCTTTGCCCCCCTGGGGTTCTTTAAGCCTCTAGATGTGCATTTGAAAATTTTATTCACTGGTGTGGAAGCTTTCAGGACCCAGCTGGACTTCTGCCCAGTTTTGCACCTGACATAGAACCGCTCCCCATGAAAACCCAGTGACATGGCTTGGACTCACACCTGCACCCGGCAGAACTGCTGTCCCAGCACCTAGCAGAGTGCTCCTGGCTCAGTTGGGAGTCCTGGCTGGGAGTGCACAGCGCGGTGTCCCTGCAAGGTAGACGTTTCCCATCCAGGCCTCTGGCCTGGGGTCAGTTCTTCCACTTGCCCACTGGGGTAGCTCTGGGCGCATCACCGAGACACTCTCTGAAGCCTCGGCTCCCACGTCTGCAGATGGGTGGGCAGGACGCCAGGACCTGGATGACACCGAGGACTGTGAGCACCAGATAGTCAGCTCATGAGCTGCCGGCAGTGTCAGGTGCAGCGCGCCCTCCTGCCGAGGGCTCACCTGGTCTGCAGCATGCGGACAGCGCGTGCACACTGGAGAACGTGCGTGTGAGCACCGCCTGCCTTCCACTCGCAGCGTGGGCTCCTTTGTCTTCTTTAAGGGCCGCTCAGCTTTCTGTTACACACCACCTGTGCTCTCTTTTATGAACAACTAGACATCCTCAGATACTGAAGCCATGTGACTTTCTTTTCCCTGTGCTTTGTTGAACAAGTCCAGTTTGGGGTAAACTCAGGCAGTAATTGATTCAGATTTGCCCAGCGGTGAAAAATCCAGGCAGACTTGGGGAACTAGGGTACAAAAGGGGTTCAAAGGGTTAGAAACTATGGTGCAGAGACAAGAAATGAAGACTTTAAAAGTTTTTTAGATGGTTCCTGCTTCTCTCTGCTTTCCTTAAATGGGGGGGGGGGGTGCTCTGAACGTGTAACTCACCTGCAAGTCCGTTGGAAAGGCTGCACATTCCAGCACCTTTCAGCAGTCTGCCTCTCCCACCTGAAAAACGAGGGCGCCTGTGAGCTGTCTGGGGACTGTGGCAGAGACTCCCCTCCTGCTGATAGGAGGTCGGCACGACGTCCCCATGTACTGTCTCTCAGCAGGTTTCAGTGATTACATTCAGAGTCAGTGTGGGTGAGGACTTCAGTTCTCAAGCAGTTGAACTCCCTTCCCCAGTCTGCACAGGTCATCTGCGGCCCAGTCCCCTAGGTCCCATTTGCTGGTGTTGGACGTGGTACCCTGTGATGTGCTGCCACCGTCTGAGTGCGGTGGTAACAGCATTTCCCACCAGCGGCCTGTGCTGGTGCTCCACCCCCAGCCCTTCCTGAGACAGACGAGCAGCTTGCTGCCCCACCCCCCCACTCCCTGCCCCAGGTGCCTCCTCTGCTGGCCCCCAGTGGACCCGAGCAGCCGGGCTGGGAGTCCAGCATCAGCAGCTGCAGCAGTGTTGGGGAGCCAGTGTCTTGGCATCTGGCCAGCGGCCTGTGCTGGATGCCTCTTCTTTCTCTATCCACCCAGATTCCTTCCTGCATGTGAGCCACTGATCTGTTTACACTCTCACGTCTCTGCTGAAGGTAGTCAAGCACCTAAGTGCAAAGCTTTGCTAGGTGGATCTCCTTCATTGGGTCCCTTTTACCCCAGGGTGCTCCCAAGAGCTTAGGGCTGTCTCCCCACTGCCAGCGGCTGCGAGTCCCAGGGGCTCCCCACTAGGGAGGGGCCTCACTGTGACACCGGGCATTGAGTTGAGCATGGGTGGCGCCTGGCTGCCAGTGTGGTGGCCCCTGCCTCTCAGCTCCCTGCTTCCTGGTCTTTCAAGACCCATCGACTTGTCCTGTTCATTCTGCTCTTGCCCTGGATTGGTCCCCCTCACTCTTAGCACCAGGTGTCCCAGCCGTATCCCGGCAAGCCAGTGCGTCCTCACGTACGGAGTCTGAACACCACTGGGGAGAGACGCACATGGTTGATTAGCTACACGTGCTTTTCTCTCATATTCTGAGCCCAGCACATGACCGAGGTCGTGAAGGATGCCAAGGGTGCGTGGTACGAGCCACTACCTTTCTCTCACTAGGGGAGTGTCACCATGTTTGTGAGGTTGGGCAGCTCAGTTAGGGTCATTGAGAGCCGCACCTGCGACGTCCTGCTCTCAAAGACAGGGCTCAGGAATGGGGATCCCAGCCACTGAGTGACTGACCGCAGTGGCAAGTGGACCCTGCCCCAGCCCCATCCTTTGCTCCGGGGGTGTGAATGCTGCTGATGTTTGTCCATCCACAGCTGGCCCCAGAGGCGGCGGCCTAGCACAGAGAGGACGCTGGGCACTGAATACCAGGAAGGTGATGGGTCACTGCGGTGAGCCTTGTGACCTGCCTGCAGTGTGTCCTTGGAATACAGTGCCCAGCTCCTGGAGTCAAGGCCACCCCCCGGAAGCAGACTCAGGACACAGTCTGCCCAGGGTCTGGTCCTATGGTTCCGGCCCACCACCCACTCAGGACACAGGCCGCGAAGGGTGTGTGCTCAAGTGTGGGAGACATGCAGCTCCCCTGGTGTGTGTTAGACTGTTTCTCCTGAATGTGGGTTTGGCTTTAGACTCAGGGACTTCCCACACACATGGGAACACATATGTACATGTTGTGTTTCTCTGGTCTCTCCCTGGCTGTCGGGACATGGGTGTGGAAGCAGAGAAGTAAGGGGATTGCAGTTTAGTCCCAGGAAGTCATCTGAAACCGGACACAGGGTGCAAAAATGGTGACGGGAAGGAAGCATCATTTGGAAACACAGTGTGGCCCACTCATGTTGGCGCCAGGGGCAGAGCTCCGTGTGGGACCCGGGTCTCTGTTCTGTGCCCCGTCCTGAGGGGCCGCACGTGTGAACCACGTAGAAACTCAGATGACATGGAGACAGGGCCTGGATCAGCTCCTCAGTCCGGGCGGAGAGTGGTCACCCTCACCTGCACGCTCCCTGCTCCCGCCTTCCCAGCAGGTGGCGGGTCCCAGAGCCTGAAGGGCAGACCTGTTCCACTGCATCTGCTGTCCTGGTTCCCTGTGCAGGGGCTGGTGACCGTGACCATTTCACGAGTCATCATCTCCATCTTCTGTCCCCCTCCCACACCTCTTTCCTCCAGCTCTGCAAATATCCCAGGGTACACCGGGAAGGTTCACGTAACTGCCACCCACCCAGCCAACTCAGAGGTCCCAGCAGCTGCCCCCTCGCAGGATGCCGCAGTGCACCGGTAAGCACCAGTGCTGCCCCAGGTTGCTCCGACACACGGGGTGCGCTAGTCACGGCTCTCCCATGAAAGAGAAGGGAAGTGCCCACAGGCAACTCACTCGCTTTAACAAGTGGGGCATCAAGTCCAAAGGGACCGGAGAGTTACTGTGCAGGAAATTCAGGGATGGCACAGGGCACCTCCAAGTGTTGGGGCACCCCTGAATATCCAGGCCCTGCTGAAGGCTCCCCTTCCTGCTCAGGGCCCGTGCCGTCCAGTCCCCGTGTGGCCAGATTCACCTCTCTGTGCCTGGAGCTTGCCTCCTCCCCCAGGTCCCTCTCAAAAGAAGGGCCCTGTGTTTGTACCCGCAAAGGGCGAGGAGCGGCCAGGCTGAGCCAGAGGACCCTCTGCTTTGCCCTCCCCCACATCCCAGTCCCTGCTTCTGCTGCTTCTGCTCCTTCCACCGCAGGGAGGCACGTTGTGCTTTGCTCTTCTGGAGGCTCCATCCCCCCCTCCTGCACTGGATCCCCTGACCTGCTCCCACCCCGCGGGTGGGTCTCCTGGGCAGAGGTCCCGCCAGCAGCCCTGCTGCCGGCGCCCACACATCCCTCCGAGCAGCTGTCTTTCTCCTCTCCCTCATTCCTTCTGCCTCTGAACTTTTTGTTTTGGTATTTTGCTTTTCTCCCTTCGCCTGCCCCCCCTGCCACCCCTTCCCACCCTGTGCACTCTTCTGCTGACCACTTCTGGATGTTTGGGACACTCACACCCCACCCCCGCCCACTGCCTCCTGTGCTCCCAGCCTGCTCCCCCCTCGCCCACTCTGGTCTGAACTCCGTACTGCTGTGCACAAGGAGTGCTGGCCTGCCAGGTGGGAGGCAGGCGAAGGGAGCAGGGGCAGGGGCTGGCAACACCCCCACACCCAGGGCAGGCCTCACACTCACTATGGACACCAGTGGCTGGCTGGCCGCCCTGAGGGCCGGGCCATAGCTGCTTAGGCGGTGAAGGCACTGCCGAGCAGCCGAGGGCTGTGCGGTCCCCAAGCACATTTCAAGGCAGGCGCAGAGCCACACCTCAGCAGTGATGTCAGGGTGCAGAGCAGCAAGGACAGTGGTTGCTGGATGAGGCTGTAATTGAGGAGATGGGGTGCAGGCAGTGGGTTGGACCGGGCACTGAGAGTCCCACACCTTGAGAGTTAGGGGGTGCACCTGCAGGGGCTCTGGACCCCCGTCCCCACAGCGGCCCAGCTGCCTGGAGTGGCATTTCCTCATACCCACCACACCCTCTGCCTGCACTCGAGCTCTCACTTCAGTGGCTGCGGCCCGTGACAGAACACAGTAGTTGCTCTGTGACAATCACAGCATAAGCCAAAACCACTTCGGGGCTCGCTGCTGTGTGCTCTGTAAGTCCGGACACACAGGAGCACACCGTGCTGTGTACGTGATTCAAACAGCAGCAGAGTTGCAGCCAGCCTGCCACGGCGGCGCCGCTGCTGAAGAGGGTCTCACGGCGCAGGTCCACGCTGAGACCGAGCAGCCCCGGGCAAAGAGGTGATTGTGCCTCTGTCCCCACACCCCTGGCCTGGCCCACGAAGACTCTCTGTGGTGACCCTTGGGGTCTGCAGCTGCCTTTCCTGTTTGTTTTTTTAAATTATTATTTTTAAATGTATTCATCCCAGAGGGACAGAAGAAGGAAGAGAGATGGTGACCTGCAGCCCCCCTTATTGGTGTACTCACTGGCTGCTGCTTGTCTGCACCCTGACCGGGCTGAACTTGTGTCCTTGCTGGCTCGGGGTGATGCTCTAACCCACTGAACCACCCGGCCAGGGCCTCCTGTTCTGTGCCCTTGGAAACAGCTGTGACTCTAGACCCAGGCTCTCAGCCAGCAAAATGGAGGGTGGCACGGTGCCTGCAACAGAGCAGGCGCAAGTGAAGGCGGCAGACAAGCGGGCGGAGCAGCCACACGATGGCCAGTGGTCCCCAGTTTCTCTCTCTCACTCACGCTCTCTGGCACAGGTGCATGACTGGTTGTGGAGTAGACGTGTTTTTATGTTCATCCGATGCATAGACCTTTCTCCCCCCACTGTGTTTCAGCGTCCTACAGGAAGAATTGGCAGGTGGCCTCTTCCATCGTCGGGCACCGCTGTCCAGATTAGTCACGCCTGTGAGACCCTGCAACCCCTTCAACAGGAAGGGGAAGGAGAAGGCCAGCTACTGAGGGGCCGCGGCCCAGCGGGGCACCCACACCTCGGGCCCCGGAGGCCTGTGCGCTGTCAACAGGGAATAAAAGACGGGAGTGTGTCCCGTGCTTCTGTGCCAGTGGAGTGAGGTGGGACGCTCTTTTCTGACTGCAGGGGCAGCTTAGACCCAGCCTGTGCCACGCAGTGGCCCTGGCCCCAGAATGCCACTGTTCTGTGACAGCAACCAAGGTTTTCTGGAGGCCACCAGCAGCAAGGGTTCCTTTTGAGAAGATTCCTGGCCAGAGCCGGAGCACCTAGAGCTCTCATATCCTGACCAAGTTAATGCAGACGTTTTGAAGGCAGAGTGCCGACCATCGCTTTTTATGATCACAGATTGTCCACTCAAAACTTTACATGTTATCCCCGAGGCCCCTGGTGACTGAGAGAGACTGCCACTTGTCCCCGAGGGCACCATATCAGCTGGGTGGAAAGGGCAGACCCTCCCTCCCCGGCCCCAGGACCTCCATGGGGAGCACACCCCCAGGACTCTGAGCAGACATGGGCTCCTCAGGGTCCTTCCTGCTCACCCCACCTGGAGGCGCAGCCTGCTCTCTTTGTTCTGGGGGCATGGACTGGGCTGCTGACCCTCCGATGCTTCGTGTTCCAGCTTGACGCAGGGACAGACAGGAAGCGGGCAGCCACCCCTCCCGCTGCATGGACTCTCCTCTGGAGCAGAATCAGCTCCACCTGCACATGACCGTGCCCTCCAATCCTTTCAGAAAGAGCAATTCTGTAAAAAAAAAAAAATTAGACCAAAATGAAAATCTCCATCTCTGGAGATTCTGGCCCAAACCCCACACCATGGGGAGGACCAGCAACGCCATGTGTGGTGAAGGTCACTGAGGCCACTTGGTCAGGGAACACCACCACTTAGGACCCAAGGTACCTGCTGCCATTCAGCACCTTTCTGGGGTTGGGTGCTGGCAATGTCCGACCTCAGCACTGCTTCTGCCCCAGACTGCCCTGGTCACCAGACGCCTGTGCAAATCCGGTACCTGCAAAGCTCCTTCTAAGGGTGTTCTGCTGGGGCCAGCACAGTGCCCCCGGGTGGCAGCATGGCCACCTGCCCTCTGACAGGTGGCATTTGCCCTTTGGTGGTTTGTCATGAGATGCTGCCTGAAAAGTGTCACCCTCGGAAAGCCTAAGAGACTGTGTGGGACTGGTAGGCACCTAAAGCCCTGCTGCATGGCAGCAGCTGAGTAGGAGCCCTTCTGTGAGATTCAGGCCTCCAGCCGCAGCTGTTCTATGGGGACCCTCTCCCGAGGAAAACCCTGCCCCACTTTGCTCCTGAAACAAGGGTCCGCAGCTTGCACTTTGGGCTCTTGGTTCTTGAGGCCTTGCTTCAAGGTTCTTGAGGCCTTGCTTGCTGAAAGGTCATGTTTCCCCGGCCGCCCAGTAAAGGTCACAGAAACATTAATGTCCTTTTAAAGCGAGGGGAGCAAAGACACAGCCTGCAGTGCGAGTCGCAGTGTGGTGGTGCAGATCGCGGAGTCAGTGGCCTGTGTCTCCCCGAGAATTATCATGTAATGAATTTGCCCGTTATGAAACCAAAGGGCCTGGGGAGTCAGCCCTGCACATGAGAGCACTGTGCACTTGCAAACAGGCTCTCTGAGCACAGCAGGGGTGGGAAGGATCCGGGCCTCGCCCAGGGTGCTGGAGGAACAGAGCATGTGTGGAGGGAGACCTGGGGGGATGGGGGTGCCCTCCCACTCTGCTCCTGCAGGGCTGTCTGACGGAAATACCCACAATGCAGGTTCCTTGCAGCACAAACAGATGGGCTGCATGTCACCTGGGGAGGGCGGCTCCTGCCGATCTTTGTTACTCTCGGCTCTGCTCTTGGCTGCACCGAACTAAGGAGGTGCCTCCCATCCCTCAGGCTTGGAGCCAGGCTTGTGCAGGGGTCGACCTAGGTGCAGCCGCCCTCCACCAGCCCCTGGTGGGCACCGGGCTGGCCCCACAGAGCCTCCCGGGGCTCAGGCGGAGCTCAGAGTTCAGGGACCTCTGTAGACCTGACCCTCTTCTGCCAGGAAGGTGAAGGCAGCCTGGGCAGGGAGCCACACTATTTTCATTGGCTGTGGCTTCACCGATTTCCTTTGGTCCATCCTCCAGGAGCCTCACCTGCTTACCTAAGAAAGCTGAAGCCATGACCGCACTCCCCCCACCCAGCGAGGGGCAGAGAGGGGGCCCCCCATCCAAGCATTTCCTGGGATGAGCTGCTGTGCTTGGTCACCTGGTGCAGTTCCTGCCCGAGGAGAAAGTGGGGGCACAGGGCCCGCAGACAGACAGGGCTTCTGGGGGCAAGGGCGACAAACTGTTCAGGGTGTGGAGGACCCCCGTTTTCCACTGAGCCCCTGCTGGGGCCTGGCCCCTGAATGAGGGGCCAGGGTTTTCGCTCACTCCTGGTGTCAATTTTTACATTCCTCATTTTCTAACTTTGTAAATTACCCTGAGTATCCCTGGCAGCCACCTTGCCTGGCCCACATCAGAGCCAGCGTCTCTCAGAGCAGGCCCTGGCTGGCGCCTGGATTTGCGGTGAAGGACTTCTCTGCAGGCCTCGCACTTCTCATCAGGAAGAGGGCACTAAAGGACAGAACACCTGTGGTACCGGGCACATTGGAAATACCAGCTGCAGCAGCTGTCGCTACATCAGAGTTAACAGGCCTCTGAAGCAGGCCCCGGCTCCCCTGGGCTGCAGGGCTGTCCGTGTGGCCAACAGCCCTGCCCAGCCCCGCCTGGGGCTGCCACCCGAACATGCCCTGCAGCTTCACCCCGACCACCTGGGCAGCCGTCCTGATGGGCAGGGACCCGGCAGCCAGAGCGAGTCGCAGGAGCCACCCTACCTCCACCATGGAGCCTGCTTTCCCTCTCAGCATGGCGCTCACCTCAGTCCCCTGACCCTGGAGCATCTGGCACTGCCTTACCAGGTCTCCTGTGTGATGTGCAGTCACCCGGTGGTGATGAGGCTGCAGCCACCTGTGAGTCACCGTGGGCTCGGCCTGGTCCCGGGCACGTGCCAATGTCCCCGGCACTAAGCGGGTGCTGGGGAGGAGGGCTCCCCACAGGCGGTGGGCAGTGGGCGGCGGGCTTCCTCAAGACGAGCCCTTGCATGCTCCGCCTCTGCTGCCACCCGCCGGCTCAGGCCGTGGGTGCCGGCTGCAGGCCATCAGGAAGTCTGTGTTGTTTAGCGCTCTTATTTTGAAAACGCTCAGACTCTACCTAAGTCAGATAAGAAAACAGCGCCACGCTCTCCGAGGTTGTTCCACTTCCTAAGGAGGGACTGTCCCCGCCTGCATCCGTGGTCATGAGCACTGTGGGCCTGGCTTTACCAACACCCTCTGCCTTCCTTTTAGCTCCCAGGCATGTCCTCAGCTTCTGCCAGGCCCAAGGACACCCTGCCGTCTGGTCCTGGGACTCAGCCAACCTGCACCACAGCAGGGGTTGCTCCAGCAGGGCTGGGCCCTCTTGGGGTGCAGGGGTCACTGGGGCAGAGACAGACTGGGAAAGTGAGGCCAGGTCCACGGAGTCGGGGGCAGGCATCACCAACACGCTTGGAGAGGAACGGAGGCACTGCCAGGGCTGGAGAGTCCTGTAGGGAGATAGGAGGGGGCCAGGAGGGGACAGGGCGGCAGCCGCTCTGGGGCCCCGAACGCCAAGGTCTACCGTTGTTACGCTGCCCTCGGGTTCCATGGTGATTGTGCTTTTTCTGTAGCCTTAGAGTTAATTAGTCTAACATGCCAGCAGAGAGAGCTGGGCAGTTACATCCCCGACTGCAGTCACATGTGGCTGGGTTTAACGCCAGTGGATAGACCCCATGGCTAGCCACGGTGCGGTCAGCTGGAGTCCAGCTCGGAACCGAAGGCTCTCTCCATCCCAAGGAGCTTCTAAGGACCTAGACCAGACATGGGGAGGACCTGACACAGGGACACCAGGGGGCCAGTGGGCTCCCACAGACCCTGGTCAGAGCAGCCCCACGTGGCCCCAAAGGGGGGGCTGAGGCCAAGACGATGCACCAGGGGACCCCAAGCATCACCGTGTCTGTCGAATGTCCCGGGAAAGAAGCCCGCCAACTTTGCAGGTTACTGCCCAGGCACTCCTGTTAGAAACGCGTTTCATGTGTAATGAATTGCTTCTCCTCGGCGGAAAATCGTTTTTCACCGTTATCTGTGTGATCGGTGACTTCTGCCAGTCCATAATGGCCTCGCCTGATTATGCGGGGAGTCATTAAAAGCTCGGCCCCGCACAATGGCGTCCTGCGTCGGGTGATCCATGGGGCTTTGCAGCAGCTTACCAGCCGCAGCCGTAATTTTACTCATTCGTCTTAATTTTTTGTAATCATTTTTTGTAAAGAGGGTATAATGTCAGGCTTGCTTCCCTGCCTCTGACAGATCCAATCTAGCAGATAATTACCATAAGGAAATTGATGCTTTAGTGTGCGGGAGAGAATTTAATTTACTCAGACATCCTACAGAACAATGCATTCCAGAAGATATGAGGATTTAAGTTTTTAAGAAATTAAATTTTACTATTTAACATGATTACTTATGTTGAACATCATTAACTAGCTTTTTTAAGTGTTTGAAATAATTACCAGCGCACTGGCTGCGTCTAAAATCCAGAATCTGCTTTAAATAGGGGTTAAGGATCCATGAAATGAGGAGAAAATCCCGAAGCCTTCTTTCCGCCCAGGCTTCCCAAATCCGCTCCGTGAAGCCCGCAGCGCGGCTGAGCTGCTGCTCCCCCCCCACCCCCCCAAGGACGAGCAGTCTTTCCTGCATGGTGCCGAAACACACGCTCCCTAAGGCTCCCCGAGCCTGGCCCCTGCTTTTTCACCTCACGTGGCTGAGGTTCTGGGGTGAGGCTGAGAGGAAGCGGGGAGGTCTTCGGGCCCGGGGACTGGACGGAGCAGCCCTGTGTTTGTGGCACAGTGGGCAGAGCTGAAGGCGTGTACCCAGAGCCACACTGCTGCCCACGTTTCCTATCTGTCTTTCCTTCTTTCTTTTAAGACCTGGAGATAAAGAAAGACAATGCCAAGTGCAAATTCAAGACCAGCAGAAAGTGGAGACACAAGGCACAGGCAGAGAGCCTCCACCTCTCAGACCTGGGGCCCCTCCCCACCCACAGCATGAAGCCCAGTGTCCCCAGGCCTGGGGACAGGCCAGCTGCAGAGCCCCTTTCCGCCGAGCCACGCCCCCTGTGAGTTGGATTCCCAGGAGTTCCTCAATCCTTTCCTAAACGTGAAGTGAAACACCCGACAGGAAATTTCTGGACAAAGCCAGCCCAGAAGTTCCCTTATCCAGCCCCTCTGCCGGTCACATTTCCTCTCAGGAGACGCAGCGACGCCCTCTGGCCCGCGTCCGCGGCAGGCCCTGTGACCGTTTAGGTAGCAGCCGGGGATTGCCCAAGGGTCCCAGCTGAAAATCCCCCCATCCCTCAGCTGAGGAAGCTGTGTTTGAGCTGTCCTCTGTGGTGGTCCTGCCCGAGGGGGCTCATGGAAGGTACCCCCCAGCCGCCTGCCTCGTCCTACCCCATGCCTTCAGGTTCCGACTGCACCAGTTCCTGGCGAAAATACGACATTTCACTGGAAATGCTGAGGTCTCTTAGAGCCATTCCGTGCACAGGGAAAAGAAATGCCAAGACTTTAAAAGCCATGGTTATCGGACCTGAGGACAGCGCCCTCTGTCCTCACAGAGAAATCACCTCTCAGGTCCCTGCTCAGTCACTTGGGACCTGAAATACAACCGTGTCTGACAACAGACTCCTATCTGTTTATTTTCTGCAAGGCACAGAAAAGGAAGCAGAAATGCAGGAGACACAAAATTGCAGCCAGGTGGTCGGGGTCGGCAGCGGCCCAGCGCCAGGACCCAAAGGAGGTAGTGTGTCCCACCTGCAGCCGCAGCCCCTATGGCTGCTCTGGGAGGCGGCTACGGTTCCACCTGCTTCGCTTGCAGCACAAGCCCGACTCCAGTGATTTTGGTGTGTCCCTTCTGCTCCCGCGACAGGAGCAGCTCAGACCACGAGGCCCCCACACTGCAGCAGGGACGCCGAGGAGTGTTGCTCACTTGCTGACTCCCGACACACACGCACACACCCACACACTCTCACCCATGCACACACAGGCACCCCACAGGCTCAGGGCACGATTACACTGACACCACTCCAGGACGTAAACGCAGAGCCAGCGCGGCCAGCAGGCTCGGTGCCCTGTACTGGCAGTTGGGAGACCCATGGAGAGAGTTTGGTGGCACTGCCCGGTGCCTGGGACAGCAAGTGGCTGAGTCAGGACTGGGAACCAGGACGGCTGGTACCCGTGTCCACACTCTCAAACCCCGAGCTGCCAAAGGGAGGCCAAGGCCACCTCCCCAAGCCTGGCTCCTTCTCCGCCATACCTGGGCACAGTAGCACCTGGCGTGGCTTCCTTTGGCTGCTCTCTTGGTCAAGACTTGCCGGTGCACTGGGGGAGTGGGACACTGGCTGCATCCCAGATGCCTCGCGAGGCCCCGAGGATGCTGGGGTCATGAGGGGCGGGGATGAAAGCTTACCCCCCACATCCGCAGTGACACATGGGACACACAAACCTGCATTCCAACCTTGAGGCTCAAAAATCTCTTCAATTTTTGTTGAAAATATGGCTGAATCCCACACATCCCAGTGGCTCCTTTCCCAGCCCCCCTCCCCCACTTTGCCCCCCCACCCTGACCACACAAGCACAAGCCAGAGCTTCCTCTTTCCACCGGGCAGGCTCTTCCCAGGCTGTGGGCTCCTCACTTCTGCCCCATGGAAAGGCAGCCCGGGGCAGTCCGGGTTAACCATGTCATGGCCAGACTTCTCCTGGGGCTGGTCAGGTGAGGTCCAGGTCCCTGCCTGTCTGGGGTGCTCAGCTCAATGCTGTCAAGCAGCGGGGGTCCTTCCTGAGTCCACCTGCAGCAGGAGGGCCCAGGCTGGGGGCGCACCACTGAGGCCTGCCCTGCCCCGCACCTTCTGAGATGTCCCCCAGTGAAACAAACGGGCCAACCGAAGTGGCCTGGGAGATGTCACACAGTGACACCATCTCTAAGTCCGGAATTGCTGGTGATTTTTTTTTTTAGGAATTTAGGAGCAAAAAAGAGGCCGGGAAGCTCCCAGCAGTGTATTGATAAGCAGGGGCCACTCCTGGCTGGACATGACGGCGTTGTCTTCTCTGCTGGGGCTCGTTTCCTCACAGCACTGTCCCACGTTTAGTCCCAGGAGGCCACATGCCCTGCCCGAAGCATCACGGCGGTGCTGGCCCCTGCACAGGTCCTGGCAGGTGGCCGTAGGTGCTGGGAAAGTGGGGGCTGGAGGGGTGAGTGCAGGAAAGAAGGAATGGCGGTGGAAAGATGATTGCTTTGGGATTTCCCACTGACCGGTTTTCAATCCTCGTCACTCAGGCTGCATTTGGGAACACGGACTGCTGAATCGGAAGCCAAGGAGGTCTGCAACAACTGGATTTGCCGAAATTTCTGGGGAAACCTGCACTCACAGACTTCAGTGGCTTTGCCCAAATACCCCGCTAACAGTTGTCAGGCTGGCCCAGGGTCACTCACCCCAGGGAGCTGTGTGTGTGCTGCCCCAGACACTCAGCCTGACGGCCAGATCTCACTGATTCCCTCGGGCCTCAGGCCCCTGGACCCTGGGTGTGGACACTCAGTGGGTGCTGCCTCCCGGTGAGATGGCACCCTGGTCCCTGGGGGAGCTGTGACACACATCCCAGAGACACTGAGAACTTCTGCCATAAATGGACCTCCTTCCAAATTGGGGCGTGTTCACTCCTGAAGTGAGCTTGTGTTTTACAGTCAGAAACAACCTCCATGTGCTGAGCATCTCAACCTTTTTCACTTGTCCAAATGTAGACTGTTGGTCTTGCTATCAGGTCACCGCCCCTTTTCTGGAGGGGAGGCTAGTGTGTTGTCTGGGAGGATGCTGGCCACCTGCACCAATTTGTCCATCAGGTGCACCCCTCGGGGGCCCTGGGCACTTCCTGTAGACAAGTGGTGTGCCTGTCCTGGCAGCCTGTGGCACTGTGGGTGTGTGCTCCCCCTCAGAGTCAGGGAGACCAGAGCCACGGCCCATTCCCTGAGTCTCCTGTCCTCACCTCCGGCCACCTCCGGCCTTGCCACTGCTCTGGCCGGCCCCCTGGAGGAGGATTCTGACCCTTGCTATCTCTGAGGCCTGTGAAGGACACCCTCACAGTCTTGTTTCTGGCTCACGCCGGCCAGTGCGCATGGCTAG